TCCGCCGCGAGTGGCTCGACCTCGAGCACGAGCGAGATCGTGCGCCATTCGGGTGCGGGTGCGAGAGACTCGGCGGGCGCGCCAGGGATGGAGGCGACGATGTCAGGGTTTGTACGATGTTGTGGGCAGCTCCAGTAGTCGTAGGGGAACTTGGGCAGGTGATGGGCGCAGCTCGCGAAGTAAGGTCGCTTTTCTTCGGGGAAAGGGGCGACGAGTTTGTTGAGCCCCTCGATCTGGGTGATCAGGGATGAGTATTGATTGTCGGAGGGAAAGTCAGTCACTTACGAGGGGCGTATACATACTCTCCTCTGATCCGTTAAAGCAGACGGCATCGAAGGCTCCTTGGACACTCTCGCCTGGAGGGTACTCCTTTTCGCTAGGTACGTAGTTATTCAAGTATTGACCAACGGGATCAGACGACTCCTCGAGACTGTCGTACATGAGAAGACCGGCGGACGACTGCGGCTGTTTGTCTGGCCGAGTATCAGGTCGATCTGCGTCAACGCTGCGTGGCATGTTGCTGTTCTCGCTGTTGTCGGTCATCCTTTGAGAATACACGGGCAGAGAAATTTTCTAGTCGGAACAAGATGAAAACAGACGAAAGAGGGTCAGTCTCCGGGTGTATTTCAAGTGTGGCTGAAAGACAAAGGGGATTCGAGTAGGTCGACTGTCTGGCCACAATGCCGTGAGGGCAGGAGATGGCCACGAGGTCAATGAATATCTCTCCCGAAAAGCTAACTGGAGTGGTGAGCACAACTAGTCTAGCAGTGATAGAAGACTCAACTAGTCACATATGTGCCATCGCGGCCGGCCTTCGCGCTGATCGATGCCCAGACACGAGGAGTTCTCTCGCCAGCTTACGGCACTGACGCGGCTCACCTTTGGACATCATACGAGGGCGTCGGGCTCGAGGATGGCAAATAGACTCGGAGTGTGCGAAATAGCGACTCGTCTTGTCATATTCTACAGACTACCGTACATGGCGGCTAGATCAATCATATAACAATCAGATCGACTCGGCTTCGGCTGATCCAAAACACAGACAACATGGAACAGAGCACCCCATAGACTGTAGTACAATTCCACATCGACATGACCGACCTCACAGGCTCTTCACAGATATTTGAGCGCCCAATACTTTGTTTGCATGCGCTTCCGCTCTGCGCTCAAATTCAGAGAGACCCCTCGCGCGCTTGTCACCATCACCATTTACAAATAGTTCTCGACAGAATTTTCGTAGTTCCTCGTCCTGTACGAGGAAGCATCAGCCGTATGTACCGAGGGCGAATAACGGGAGGTATACATCTTCTGGGAATCCTCCATATGCATCTACGAGGGCGTCATTCAACCCCTTGTCAGAAGCGATGCTCGGTTTCCGAAGGGCAGTGGTAAGCACATCAATTGCTTTTGGCGGTTCAGATAGAAATTGGTATGCTTTGGCTTGACGGTAGTACCTGCACAAGATTGAGGCATACCTCAAATGCGACACAACACTTCACTTACGCCTTTCCATAATTCCCATCCATCTCGGTTGCCTGCTCAGCGTCCTCCAGAGCCTTCTTGGGGTCTCTACCGTCACCTTCTAAAAGATGTGCCGCTGCGCGGTTAGATAGGCACACGCTTAGTAAATTCTTGCAACGCTTCGTTTCGGCGTCCGTCGGCTTCTGAGCCAACGCCTCAACGAGGTTCTCAATCGCCTCAGTGTAATGCTTCAGCGCTTCCGCCCGGTCTTTTCGCCCCACTGCCTCATTTCCGAGGGCCTTCTCCGACTCAGCGGTCACGATCCCCTTGGCGACACCTGCAACGTTCAATCCATGGACACCCGTAGCTACCTCTTCAGTCTCTTCCCTTCAGAGCAACTCGGCATAAATACAACACCTTGATAGACGACTACGCAACTTACGGTGTCTCGAGACGCCAGCTGGAAAGGATTGGGGAGCGAATCCAGGAAAGGCCGGAGTGCATCAATGTGTGGCTTGACCTTGTAGGCGATGACTAGAAGTGAGGGAAGGCATGGACGGTTTGGCGGCAGCGGGGCCGCGATTGCTTGTTTGATGCATCTGTATCAAATTGTCACGGTCCAATCGCTGCTTTAAATTCTAGCCGTACACCTACTTCAATACGAAGTCTGAAGATGGCAGGCCAGGCAGTGGGTTCTTCTGCACCAAAAAGGATGTCGTCATCTGCGAATATAAATTAATTGTAGTCCAGTAGATGCCTCGTCCGGTCTACACACAGATAGTAATAGAGAAGATAGGTTGGCTTCCAGGGGAATGGCCATCCTGCCCTAGAAACCCCATCGGTGTAAGCTGCACGACCCAGAACGAATCTCTGCGAACAGGCGCTGTGGTGTAATCAAACCTCTCCAGCTGGTCTGCAGATGGACTCATGCCACTAACAGAAGCGAGGAGAGCCTCCAAGGAGTCAAGATCCTGGGTCGCAAGGTGGTTCATGAGTCCTTCCATATTGTTAGCGTAGGGTCCCCCGCCGTATGAAGACAGCACGTTCTGCAGTGACAAAGTCGTTGGAACGTTTCCATGTCGATTTTGGTTCTCAATACCTTGATTGTATCTGGCATGCGAACAAAAGGGTCCCTGCCACCGGACTTGGAGGTTTGCTTCGAGGCCATAGTGATGGCCGTCAGTGACTAAGAGTAAAGAGCGAAGTTCAGAAGGGGCTTGTAGGATCGCGGGAATGCGAACCCTGGGATTTGAGGGTATTGGGTTGGTATTGGATGGAACTATCGAAGTTGGTCGACATCGATTCAAAGATAGTTTGAAGGTTCGAGCGGAATCTGCCGGAGCTTATCACTGGATATTTCGCTGGGAGTCCAATCTCTGTATTTCACTGTGCAAGAACGAGAGCCGATGCTTTTTAATGTCAGCTACATTGGAGTAGACTAAGTGGACTGACGGCTGTAGCGCGAAACGACTGGGTTGTCGCGTTATTGTATATTACTATGTTGGTTACGCGATGTGCGTTTCACGTGACAGAAACTATTAATCACGTGCACTGCTGCTATTCGGCGCCTACACGATCACCAGCGACTGCCAGTGGCCAATGCTTCTGCGTGCCGCTCGACATTCACACAACGCTCATCCATTCCGGTCAGTTAGGCCAACTATTTCACTGTCTTGAGCTTGTGTCTTCTCATCGACAGGCCTGTCTTTATTACCCGCCAAATTTTTGAAATCACACGTCGCGAGGCTACTGACCACAAGAGATGTCCTCCCTTGCTGGTGCCTTGGATCCGCCGGTTCCTGCTCCGAAAGAGAGTCCCAAGGAAGAGGATGTTCCTATGGAGCTCCCTGATACTGTTCTAGATGCTGAAAGTGAGTCTAAGGATGAAGAAATGCATGACCTCTTTGGCGAAGCGGAAGACGACAACGTGAATATTGTCAAACACGATGAGTACGTCTTCATAATTCTGAGACCTTCAACATTTTTAGACGCTACGTATGAAGGGCAACAACACCCGCGTCCTCGGAGCCTGCTGAGCCCCTGGATGGACTCACGTCTCCAGAGCGGCGGCACCGACAAGATATGGAATATGCGGAGGCAGAACAGGATGAAGGCGAGCCCGTCATTAATCAAGTCTTGGAGGCCGATGCACCTATTCCAAATATTCCCGTGCCACGCAGCTCGGACGGAAATGTGAGCCATCATGTTATTGACATTCTTGGCTGGTGATTGACTGCTCACCACTCATAGTATTGGGTTATACGTATGCCTAACTTTGTGAAAGTTGATTCCAAACCATTCCATCCGGATACATATATTGGACCCGAACAGGAGGATGAAGATGCGCAACATGCGGAGACCGTAAGAGAAAAGAGCATGACTATCAAGCTCAAAGTGGAAAATACCGTCCGATGGCGGTGGGTGAAGGATGGAAATGGTGAAGATGTGAGTTAGTGCGTATGATTGAGTATGGCACATTGTTGAGATTTCACTCGTATTAGCGACGGCAATCGAATGGTCGAATAGTTCGCTGGTCAGATGGTACTCTAAGTCTGCAACTCGGGAAGGAACTATTCGATATTACTCAACAGGTCGATACATCTGGCGCCATGCCACGGCAAGCATTTGGTGGCTCACAGCAGGGCTCGCAAAGCCAACCAACAGCCTCTCAGCCAACAGCACCGGGTCGGTCACAAGGGCTCACATATCTTGTTGCTCAACATAAACGGGCCGAGATCTTGCAATGCGAAGCACTCGTCACCGGCTACATGTCGTTAAGGCCAACAGGTATGCAGTCTGAGACACACCGGATGTTGGTGCGTGCAGTAGGTCAGAAACATAACAAAGTTGCGCGCCTACGGATGGCGCCCGATCCGACGACGGATCCTGAGCGTGAAAAACTGGAGATGATGAAGCAGGCAGCGCGCAAGCCGAGGAAGGTGCGGGGCGAGGATGATGTCCTCGGAGCACGTCGGCGACGTGCCAGTTACACCAGGAAGCGGACGGGAGACGACATGTGGTCGGACGACGAGGAAGATGCAGTGTTCGGAGGTGGATCGGAAGACGAATACGGAGACGAAGGTGCGGCAGGAGGTAGAGGCGCAAAGCGGCGGAAATCGGGGCAAGAAGAGGACGGCAAGAAGGGTCCGGGCGAATACCAAACCGACGACTTCCTCGTGGCCGATTCCGACGAGGACGGGGCGTTTGGAGATTCAGATGATGATGGTGGTAAACCCAAGCGATCGCGGCGAAGTAAGGCGGAAGACGAGGACGCGGAAGAGGATGATCTGGAGAAGTTGGAGTCGCAAATTCAACGACGGGAGGCGGAGGAAAGAAAACGTAGGAAAGACTCGGGCAAGCGTGGAGCCGAGGCATCGTCAGATCAGGAAGCTCCTGATGATGGTGAAGGTGAAGGGCAAATGGAAGTCGAAAGTGAGGAAGACGACGGATTTGGTGTGCGGCGTCAATCAGCTCCTTCGCGGAGGAGGAAGGTGGTTGGGCCAGACGAGGAGGACGAAGAGTGACCAACTTGTGTATTAGGTGATCTACTGTCCTTATGCATGGGCATTATGTGCTGGATCAAATAGGTGGAGGATGCATCTTCAGTACCCCAGTCTGACAATTACCTTGTGCAATTGAGAGCCAAGTGGGACATGACAAAAAAGTTATGTGACTCGGTGACTGCCAGTCAGCTGTTCATTACTACAAGGCTGTACATAATTTTTTCTTCAGAAGTGTCAGAACAGAATAACATGTTGCGTCGAGTATCAGGATCACATAGATGATACGAAACGTATATCACGGAATACTCTGCAGATTGTGATACTCGTCCCATCGCCCTACGGGCTGTATCTCATGCACCACAGCTTGATTCTCTTTATTCTCATGCAACAAGTTGCGTAGCGCAAGAATTGCGTGTTCTTTCATATCTGATAATAACAAAGAGATTAACACTGCCCCGTGGATTCGATATATGACTTACAGGGATTTTGGTCGTCGACGACGCAGAGATTCATAACCACGGGTATCCCGCCGCAAGCTCGCACGCGATCCTGTACGCCTCGGTTATTGGAAGAGAGGATTCCCAGCAGGCGCACTAAGTCGCGTTTGACATAGGAGAAGCCTACAGATGAAGATACACCGTTGGATGCTGTAGTTTCTCCCGCTTTCTCTCCGTTCTGAATGTTTCCTAGATTGGTCCGCTGGACAACCCTTCCAAATGTGATCCTTGGCACGAAGATGTCAAGGAGGTGCAAGGTTTCTACATATTATTACAATCAGGAAGAAAAAATGTAGTCAAGCAAGGTGGCGAACCGATCAAACTTTCCACGAGCCCTTCCCCTCCTGTTGATGTAACACCAGTCAGGAATGCTTTCAGCGTCATCTTCAAGGGCGTAATAGACGGAGAGTTTGATATCGCGCCGGCTCCCTCAGCACTGAGTGTTAGGGAAATCACGCATTGAGTCACTAGCACCAAAGCTTCGCAGACTTTAGGGAGAAGTAAATCCAATTCTTGCAGCGATTGCGGCTCTTGACTCGAGTCGGATTCGGAATTAAAACCAGCCTCGTCCGAATGCCTCTCGCCCTTGGGTATAGTAGTTCCCAACGCTCGTTGCATGGCCTCTCTAGCGAATGTCGATAGCGAGAAGAATGCGTATGTCAGCATTGCGATGGCGGAGTTGCCGACACCTTGATTCGTTTCGAGATTCGATAGGGCTATATCATGAGGAATATGTTGTAAATACGAATCAAGGAGTTTGAGCATAGTGGTCTGCTGTGGAGTTATAACTTCGTCATCTCTATGTGATGGATTGGGCACTATTAGCTTCCTAGGGGATAACACCTGGATGTAAAATATACACACTTACATGGCTATGGCAGCGTACATCTGGGACACTAGCCCTTGTTCGACAATTCGTGCGAAGATTTGATACCTAGGGATACGTATTTCAGATGCCTGAGCGAAAGGTATGCTCAGCATAAGCAATCACCCGATACTAAACGCTTGGTATTCTTCTGTAGAATCCTCTGCGTCTACCAAGGAGTTTAAGCGATCGAGTATAGAAATGCATAGTCGTGGTCCTCTTGGATGAGATATGAGCATTTGTCTAGAACACAAATATTAAAATAATATAAGTATGGCAATTTGGGCCTAGTGCCCAACGTACGCCCGGTCTTCGCTTTCATATATGCAGTTGAGAATTAAAACAAATGTAGACGATATCGTGCGTGTATCTTGAGAAGACAGAAGACGGCTTGGACGCTCACTTAGCACAGTTGTCACTCTACGAGAAACGATACAAATGATGCTTACGTTAAAATCAGTTGTTCTTCTGCAAGATTCAGATACATATCCCATAGCCGATATGACAATGACTCATTGGCTGTTATAAGATTGGAGAGCGCTTGTATAAGCATTCTTGTCGTTGGCAACACTTTATAACAAGCCCTACTTCAGATAATGGGGTTGTATAGAGGATTGGAACATACAACTCGTTGTCTGAATCGCAGTGTACGAGGTATACCGATAAATTGTCGACCTTATTGCTGGTTCGACGTCACTGAAGACTCATAAAAATCAACATGACGCTAGAAGGCAAATGCCACGAGTGGACTCACAAGACTTTCTGCTGGTTTATGCTTTCTGCTGCAACCAGATTGCGGGTAAATTTTGCAATGCTTTGGTGGAGCTGGGAAATTTTCTCTTCGTGACCCGTAGACACATCTCCGGATGCGAGAACAACCTCAGTCCATAGCTTGTGTACGATCACCCAGAGGCGCGGGTTTCGAACTCCCACATCATGCCTAGGAGAATTAACGAGACAGCGATATATTATGTTCTAGCTGGCTTTACCTGTATTGCGGGTCTCTGGCCAGTCGTACCGAGCACGCATCAAGGGCACTAATAAGATCTACGATAGATTGTTGAAAGACAAAGTCCAACGCTCCAAGGCCGTCATGTAATCTTTGAATGAGAGAATCATCAATTTCGACCGCTACGATAAACATGAGTCTATTTTGTAGCCAGATATAATATAAAGTTAGCTACTCACTGCCCATTGGTGGAAGACAAGTTGCGCAGAAACGAGCCTGAGCCTCCCGCCACCCGAAACCGATAAATATCCGAGGCACTGCTTCAAGCGCTTGTTGAGTATCTTCACCTCAATGTCGGCGCCCACGACGCGGAGCACCGAGTCGCTGGACATCTCGCTTGAACCTCACTTACTCGATACACTTCGGCCTCTTTCTTCCGTTCTTCCTCCTGAACTCGCTGCTCGGCTGCAAAGCTACATCGCGGAAGAATCGCGTTTGTCCACCTTTCCCGCTGTCCCGTATGCGCTACTCTCCTCCATCTCCGCATGGTCCCGCTCTTCCGAAGGAGAGCGTGCTTTACGCGCACATGTTCCCGCACTGCAACAGAGTGATTATACTATGATAGCGCTGCTAGCTGGCACTCGGACTTCGCCTGGCCGCAAATTTCCCCCAATGCCTGTTTCCTCATCGCAGTCCGAGGACGCACGAAGAAAGGTCAATGACAGACGTGCGATCACAGCCATCCTCAATGCCCTCCTCAGCATTATCGGGTCAGGTGTCGCAACGTGGTGGGCAGCGGGAAGGCTTGATTGGAAGGACGAATGGGTACGCTAACAATGTCCTCCCTCTTCTGGACGTCTTACCACTCAGCACGCGGCTTTTTTTAGAGAGTGCTTCTGTCTCTGTTTGTCGCTGCTGTTGTCGCCATTTCTGAGGCTATTCTCTACACGATCTGGGACGCCCGACGCTCTAATAGACCTCTAGTCCCTCGCGCGAAAGTGCTTGCGGAGCAATATTTTCTCGATTCTAATCGGGACAAGAAGGAGGATGCGGCCGAGGCTGTCCCATCAGCTTTATCCTCCACAGGGATTTCAACTTCCACTGCTATTCCTATCTCCGACAGTCCACAGACTGTACTGCGAGAACGAATTGTAGCGAGTATTGACGAGCTTTGAAGATACTCCAAGTATTGACTACCGTGACGGTGTGCGGAAGTTCCGTATGGTGTGGAATCTCTTGTAGAGCTTCTTTTGAGGCCCAAACTCAGACGTTTGTAAGCGTCCCTGAATCTCACGCCGAAGGTAATGGCCTTGTACTTGGTGGGTAATTTCTACCTGGTGATAATGCGATAGCTTCTGACAGATGGACAGGAAGCGCATCTGCGGCTTTTACTGACCACTTTATTCATCCTCCTTGTCTCAGTTTGACTGAAAGTGGTACGTCCCGAGGATGTAGTGAGGTGACACATGCCCAATGTACTTCTGGTCCTTTAATGCTTGCCGGTTCCTCAGTGATGCGCAATTGAATGGACAGGAGATCTTAGTGAACAATACATTCCCTCACCTAACATCACTTCGAACCCGCTGTCCTCGGTCCAGGGCCGGTATAAGAATCTTGTGGGACCGAACATAGAGCTCTAGAACCAAACATCTTTCTCTGGGCAACTCTAACGGCTTTGTCGGCGACCACTGGCGAACGGACGTGATAACAGACGTAAAGATGCTGTCCTCGGTCGAAGGGCGTTACTTTGCGACAATTATTCGTTGCGTTGCGATCAGGATTGAGTCAGGATATCGGTTTCAACTGGGTCATACCGTAGTCTCATGCGCGGCTGCTGTCGTCCGGACTGGACATACCTAAGGAGTCGAGGTTCTCATACGGTGTCTTTCTGTGAATGCGCCAAGCGGAGCTATATCTGGTCCCATCATCTACCACATGGATCGCGAAATACTTGGGTGCCATATATGGAGAGCCTTGTTTTGTCGTTGATCATCAAAAAGCATCGTCAGGCATGTTAGTCTACTACTAAATAGTGAGAATATCCAGGATCATCGACCGCGAATTTGCATGGCCTTGATGGCGATATCATTATGGACGTATGCAGGCGTATTACTCCTCTGGATGAGCATCGATACAGACAAGCTAAGATAAGCATATACGCTTCCCAGGACACAGCATTGACTTTCTCATATATAGGGGGCCCGGCTTAAGTACATATCAATAACAAATCAATAATATCGCAAGTATGGCCATCTTTATTTATCTATCAACTTCGAGGATGGGTGTTTGAAACCTGTTCGATTAAATACGGCCTACGGATGGCCACCTGCTCGGCCTATCAACATAGCACATGGTTTGCTGCCGGTGAATGGTTCTCTCGAGGTCCCAGTCACACGTCCTACAGAAATAACTCTGCTTATCACCGACCTCAGGGCCCCTCTACTATCGCCCACTCAATGACTTGATACATGATGTAAATGCTCACTTTCCTCGGCGCACAACCTTATGCAACACCGGATAATGGGCAGTATTTATACGACTTGCTAAAAATCCGTGGCCCCTCCATACCAGTGTCCCCACGGTACGCAGGATCTCGCATAGTCAAGATGCTCTCAGCCGCCCGTCTGGCTGTTACACTAGTGCTATGTCTCTCTGTAGCTAATGTCTCAGCATCTTCCTCTCGTGTGGTGCATGAATCTAGAAGTGGTATTCCTTCGGGCTGGGTGCCTGTCCGACGAGCAGAGGCCAATAGCGTTCTTCCTCTTCGTATCGGTCTGGCGCAACCCAATCTTGAAAATATGGAGGCCTACATCATGGACGTGTCCCATCCGGAATCGCCTAACTTTGGCAAGCATTGGAGTCCTGCAAAAGTGGCCCATATTTTCCGACCTACCGAAGTGGCCATGGACACTGTGCGAAAGTGGCTTTTCGAGAGCGGAATCGAGGAGCATCGCGTGAAGCTCAGTCCGAGCGGCGGATGGATGCTGGCAAACGTGACTGTCGAGGAGGCGGAACAGCTTCTTGGGACAGAATATTACGTTTACCAACACGATGAAGCCGAGACTGAACATATTGCTTGTGCAGACAGGTATCACCTGCCAGAAGATGTCTCCAAGCATGTCGAAATCATAACCCCTACCTTGCATTTCGATCTAAAGCTCAAGCGCCGTGCCCCGACTCTTAACAAGCGGAACCAACCTTCTGGCAGTGCACGCCTCGTCGGTCAACCAGGCTTTGGCCCGAGCTTCCCTAAGACAACTGGTTCCGCTGAGGTGCGAAACATAATTTTTCAAGCTGAATTACCCTCACTATCACTCTTCATGATAGAAATTGTTCACCGGGATTGCGGACTGTGATGAACAGATTACCCCCGATTGTCTACGTGCTCTTTACGATTTCGACTACGATCCCCTCGTACCGGAGAAGAACTCTATTGCTATTGGTTCGTTCTCCAACTGCACCGTATGTAATGGCATGCTAACGGTCTCTTTTAATACTTTCTAGTCGAGTATACTCCCCAAGCATATGTTCCCAGTGATCTTGATATGTTCTTCGCCAATTTCTCGAAGGGGCAGGTTGGCGAGAGGCCAGACATGGTCAGCATTGACGGGGGTAAGTCATCGGCTGTCTACTATTAGGGCAGATATACCGCTGTCTGCGTAACTTATGCTTGGGCCTTTGAACGCTGTGCTGACCTTGTGAGCAGGCTTCATACAAAGCAACCAGACGGGGTTCGATTACAATGGCGAATCAAATCTGGACCTGGAGTATTCCATGACACTGGTGGGGCCTAAGCAGACTGTTACTCTCTACCAGACCGGAGATGATGTCGAAGGTACGTTTCTGATCGAGAGAAAGAGCTTCTGGCTTGATGATCATTTGCAGGTGCTTCGTTCAACAATCTGCTTGATGCCCTTGATGCATCTTATTGTACCTTCGAAGGGGGTGACGACCCCTCCGAGGATGGAATTTACCCTGACCCCTACGGTGGATATCAAGGTGTGCCGAGAAGTACTGATGTAGCGAGTTACCTGTTAATCTCGAATGCTATCTCGGAATAGGACCGGAAGCCTGTGGTACCGTGAAGCCAGCTTATGTCATCTCGACCTCATATTCATCCAACGAAGCTGACATGACGCCATTCTACATGGAAAGACAGTGTGCGGAGTACGCTAAGGTCTGTCCTCTTATCTCCAGGTCTAATAGTTGAGGAGTTTGATGTCTAACCCTTCGGATTCCAGCTCGGTCTTATGGGTATTACTTTCCTGTATTCATCCGGAGATTTTGGCGTTGCAGGCTATGACAACTACTGTCTTGAGCCGAATGGTACCCAGGCAATCGGCGCGCCCATCTTTAATCCTACATTCCCTTCAACATGTCCTTATGTGACTAGCGTTGGTGCTACGCAGGTCAACCCGAACTCTACTGTGTGTACACTGATTTCTACTACCGTGTTCCTCAGAACTCAATGCTGTCTCTCAGGTTTGGGAGCCGGAAAGTGCTGCAGACCAGGTCATCTATTCTAGCGGCGGTTTCTCAAACGTGTTCCCGATTCCTGAATATCAGAAGTCAGCCGTTGAGAACTATCTGGCGAAGTATCCACCCCCGTATCCGTCGTACATATACAATTCAACCGGCAACTCACGTGCATTCCCTGATCTCTCCGCTAACGGGTACGTCCTTCGGATCTGGAATTTCATTGCGTATCCAAAACATGCAATTGATTCATATCCGTCAGCGTAAATTACATGATTACAGTACAAGGAGAATGGGTATATGTCTACGGGACATCATGCTCTTCTCCCGTCACTGCAGCAATGCTTTCCGCTGTCAACGATGCCCGCCTCGCCGTAGGGAAGAGCACGATCGGATTCATCAACCCTACTGTACGTTCGTTTTACGCTTTCAGCTGCTTCTCCGCTGACCGAATTTGAAATCAGATTTACACGCCCACCTTTATGGCGGCGTTCCATGACATCACTACTGGATCTAACCCAGGATGCGATACCGAGGGATTCTACGCACAGCCAGGTTGGGACCCTGTCACTGGTGTCGGCACGCCCAACTTTGCAAAGCTTAGGGACGAATGGCTTGCTTTGCCTTGAACCTTGAAGACTTACCTGGAACTTTCACTTACTTGGTTACTTGGTGTATTCATGAATAAGCATGAGTTTGGAGCGAACATGTCACAATTGTGGCCACGCCGCGCTAGCTGCACCCTGTCCCATCGCGTGGACTGCAATTTACGATGTGCATTGTCTGAACGAATATGGATGTATAACTATGCATAGGATTTGCATAAGATATAGTGGACGAGACATACAAGCAAAACTGACACATCAATCCAGTGTCCATAGTAAGATTCGGGATAGAAACTATAACCACAACATGACAGCCCAGCGCAACAAACAAGAACCTAATGCTCAAATTGATGAATGCGTTTGTCAATGAGAGCATTCAGCGAATGCTCAAGATGCCACTGCTCGTACTACCTGTTCCCATCCGGCTTGATTCCTTTACCTCCTTGCCCTTCTTCGCCTTTGGCACCTCCCAAAGGCGCCAGAACTTAAGATTCTCATCGCCCGCTCCTGTACACACCACATCGCCATTCGGGCCCAGTGCACTCCACAGCACTCTGGAATCATGTGCATCCCGTATTTCAACGATGCGCTCCATAGAGGGGTATGCGTGAATCATGAGGGCATTGGTTGGGTAACCGTGTGTTGTCATAAATTCTTTCCGATGCGGCGACCATTGGATTGATGTAACCTGGGAGGGTGTCACCAGAGAATGCAAACGTGCTCCCGTGGTCGTATTCCATATGTGCACGGTAGCATCAGACGTGCCTCCACCTGACGCAAGCAGCGATGGTTGCCAGGGGCACCATGCAATAGCCTAGTCACAGAATAGCATGTCAGTGCTCACATGTTGACTCACCACTGAAGATAACGCACCTTGACAGCAGCTGTATGGTTACGTTTCGTCCAACGAGCTGAAGACCTAGTCCTAGATGCGACATCACCCACTCGGCCATCCCAGACATTGACGACATTGTCATTACCGCCGCTTGCCAACAGTTCGCCATCGCTTCGCCACTTTAACCCACATACTTCACCTTGATGCCCCATGAGCTCGCCGACCTTATGTCTTGCCACGCGGACATCATGATGCCAGATGCTCCCATCGCCGCAACCCGATGTAAGAGTATGCTGGTGCCAGGACAAACAGGCAACCTGACTTGAATGTCCAGCCATCGTTCGTAGTTTGGTGTGCGTTTCCACATCCCAGAGTTCGACTGCACCCGTACCTACTCCAACACCCAGAAATTGACCGTCGTTGGAGAAGTCCACTGAGGCAATATACGATCCCTCTGGCGCTTCACCCATCTGCAAGACTTCTCCAGTATCTGCTCGCCACAAGTAGGTGCTTTCAGCCAAAGCTACCGCTAGCACATTTAGCGAGCTCCACGCGACCAGGTTAAGGTAGAAGTCGTCTACCATTCCTGGAGCGTCCAACACACGCTCTGGCAGCGTCGCAATCTTGCGACCTTTGCTCGTCGTGGTGGACGTTGAAGTAGGCAAAGCACCCGGACGGGCATACAGTGGACGTACATGCTCCCGTGCTTGTGCAAGGAGCGGGTCAGAGGAAGAAGCAGGAGGTGGCTCGTGGTAGGCGAGCACACGGCGATTGAGTGGTACACCGGCAGCAGCAGCCAGACGCGCCGTATGCCCTGGCGAGGCAGATCTTGGATTTAGGGACATCATATCCAACGTCGCCGCTACGTCGTCCGTGGTATCCCGCGTCGTGATGAACCTGTCCCGCGGGTCTCGCTGCGGGTAAACATTCAGCGACAAACAAACTCTGCAGGCAAGAGATCTTACTGTGGGCTGAGATTTTGATCGCTTTTCGGGTTTGGGAGGGACATAGTCTCGCGTTATGACATCTAATCTACTTTCGACGCCGCCCTTGCGAACGACTCCGGAGTTTGCTTGGCGCTGCAAACTCTCAGACACTTGGATTGCGCCGCTTGTCGTGCGCTTGATGGGTGATACCGGTCGACTCGTGGCTCGCCGTGCTGGGGGCTGGCTCATCAAGAAAGGATTGATAGAAACATCTGCTTTGAACTTGGTCGGGGAAGACTGTCCAGGAAGTGCTGTGCTCAGTGAGTTAAGACCTGTAGCGAGGGAAGGAGTCAAAGGAGTCTTCGTCTCAGAGCGAGAACGGTGCCGCGACGGTGTTTTAGGTAGGTAGGACATAGCAATCGATAGTCCGAGAGTAATTCAGCAGGATGGATGTGGAGAACGCGGTCGTCGACCACGCTGTGGCCATGCTTCAATTGAACATCAGAGACACGTGATCGCGTCGACGTGACAATTGAGTCACGGCATCACGCTGCAGCATCGGATCACCTGATCTGGTCTCGGATATTGCCGCATGACGCGTCTAAAGGACTTGTCGAGAGAAACACGCGTTCATTTCATTCAAGGCGACGCGTCCTACTTTGGCTCACCTCACGATCCTCACCCACTCCTGCGCCGTGTCCGCAATATCACCATGGATATTTCATTCGCTCTCACCGGGAAAGGCTTCGTGATAGTCGCAGCAGACACTACTGCCGCGCGTTCCATCGTCAAGATGAAGTTGGACGAGGACAAGATCAAGGTCCTTAGTCCACATCTACTTATGGCTTTCTCAGGAGAGCCAGGTACGTCCTCAAGCGTGCCGTTTTGTTCTGATTTTAAAGCTATTCTTTCGATCAACAGGCGACACTGTTCAATTTGCGGAATATGTCGAGCGCAACATTCGATTGTACCAGATCCGGAACACATACGCTCTGCGGCCATCTTCCGCTGCTTCGTGGATTCGTCGCACACTTGCCGACTCCATCCGCTCTCGCAAACCGTATGCAGTAAACCTACTCGTGGGCGGTTATGACACAAGCACGCACACTCCTAGTCTCTACTGGGTTGACTACCTCGGCACACAAGCAAGCGTGCCATTCGGGGCACATGGGTATGGGAGCTATTTCGCGCTCAGTTTGCTGGATAGGTACGTCGCATGGGCAGCTATCCATTCCATCGCCATCCGTTCAATGTCGCGCGGAGCTCTCTTTCTCATCTCCGTAAGTCTCTGATAATTGAATCAACTGAACCTGGGTTGGTAGATATCATAATCCCGAAGCCACACTTGAAGAAGGACTAGATACACTGCGGCGATGCATCGACGAAGTGTCCAAGCGACTGATCGTTGCGCCTGGAAAATACAAAGTTAAGATTGTAGACAAGGATGGCGTACGAGAGATTGAATTGTAGCGGGCGTGGGACTACATCTGGTGTAGTAATGCGCCACTTTCTGTTGTTTTGTACTTTATGATACAGGTCTTCACCGTCTGGTAACAGCGTGCTACAGGACATTGTTACTCGCCATAGCTCTCAGTCTCGATCAAGTAAACGCGCGGAGCCATGGAGGCAGGAAGTCTGAGTGGAGATGTATCCTGAGACGCATTGCGCAGAAGATCCTTTTATGAGGGAGGGCGTTTACTTTCATTGAGCATACAAATTTGGCGTCTTAACCTGTACCAAACACATTTGAAATGATTTCTTGGCAGCAATGTCACACATGACGAAAGATAATAGTGGATTGCTCGTAACTGCAAGCGCGAAACCTGCACAGACGTTTTCTTCGAGCACTGCTTCTCCCTAGGCAGCACGATAAGCGCATACTTTCACGCAGGTGTAACGAGAAGTCAATCAAGGTTACCGCCACACATTACAATTATCATGCAAAGGAAACTGACACTTAGAAGAGGAATGGTAAGCAACTGGGAAAATGTTTTGAAGGTATACAAGGTAAGTCATTGAATATGTTGGCCAAGTCAGTTGATCAAGGATGTATTATGAGGCTGCGATGTAGGAGGGGTTCGAATGATGATGCGCTAGGGACCCGTTCAGACTCCCATGCAACTGGTAGTTTTTCCGTGTAGATGCATTCGAGAGCATGTAGCCAGCCAGATGAGTCGAAGCCACAGAATTGATGCCAAGCACTATTGATGGGCAACCATTGTGTGAAAGCGGGCGAGTAAAGCAGTCCCTGTTGGGAAGGAGTGATCTACGCGTTTACATGAAGTCTCGATGCAATGGTGTACGATATACGGTGTATGGGACTCTCACGTATGTCATGATATGTCAGGATAGCACAGCAGGGACTTAGATTTCACGAGCAGGTCGCCCTGGGCGTCCTGTGGTTTGATGCCGTGATAATTGACATGGTGATCCATGTCATCTGCTGACTGAACCTCAGGCCACAGGTAGGGCACCGCTCGTCGTTGCAAGCCCCAGTCAAGAATCTTGTCTTGACCACCGAGTGCCAGCGGGAATATCTCGCGAGGTGCAGATCCTCGGCTATACCCCGCAAATTGGCCGAGAAGCTTGCTAAGTACCGCGCGCGCACCGGAGAACGATCATATTCGATCGCGTATCAGTCCGGGCGGATCTAAAAGACAGCCCAGTTAGAGCGCGAGACTCCTCCAGTCCGCAAACCTTCTGGCGCGACTCGAGGCGATGAAAGCTTGACTTATTTGCGGAGTGACGATACTCTTGGGCGCACTGCCCCCCGAGTGCCCACATTCGGAACATCATGCCAACGCATTCACTAATAGTGCAGCTACACCTATTGGTAAGTGTACAGTGAGGTCGCTGTTGAGGAAAAATATGCAATACAGGCTAAAGAGCCTCGGTCTGATTGATATATGTCTTGGCAGGTCTCCAAAACTATTAGCCCCATAGACGATGCAACCCGCTGCCCTTGGGTGGGCGCTGATTGTGACATTGTTTGCCGGTCCCGCAATGTTCGGACATCCCTGTGCTAGCCCTGGTGGATGTGAGTCAGCTGCAGTTCCTTTGACGACATCCGTCCAGAGGCTGTCGAGGCGGCACCGCCATCAATTGAGAAATGAGGCATTAGCGTTGAAGTACCCGCGTCCTCGTGAAATAAGGGCAGCTTTCTGCGAGACCCAGAAGACCATCCTCACCATCTCCGTCTGAGGCGGACGTCCCCCTTCATCCGCTCGTCCCATATCCATAGTGATCCCTCAGCTATTTGCATTGCGCTATGGAGACGGGCGATGTCCCTCCTTCCGCTGCTCCTCTGCTCGATGATCCTAGCCCCGTGCTAGAGATACAACATACCAGGACTCCCAGCTTCCACGCCCATCCAGCGCGAGCAGGCACATACCCGGTTTATCTGCAAGAGAGGGGTATTTCCTCACGAAGACCCACAGAGCGAGCGCAGACTCTTCCTGATCCTCTGCCATCTGCTTCCACGGTCGTGGAGAAGTTAGACGGTTTTACTTTCCTTACCCCAAAGCTCTCTGATTCAGATCTGCCCACTCCATCCGGAGATTCCAAGCACGACGGCAACGATGCCGTTGAACGCAAGAGGAATCCATTTGTTGTCGCATGGAGATGGTCATTCGACCAGATCACGAACCACTGGATTATATTTTCTACTTTCTTCATCCTCAGCACAGTTGCTATCTGTTTCGCCGTCGGCTTCTCCCTACGCTTGAAATTCTTTGATGCTGTTCAAGTCTTGGATCAGGAAGAGGCTCAGCAGGTGCCTGCGGTCAGCGTTCAATTAACACCTCCCTTTGGATTCTATCTCATGCGTTTCTTCAGGTCGTATTGGGCGCGAACCTCATCACGATCGATGCCATAGGACAGACGATGACACTTGATTGGTTTGTGTACTACAATTGCAATCCCAGTGATTGCGTCGACGTCAACGTCTATTTCGACCAGTAAGCAGCAAAGCCGCTCACTATAGAGAATATCATTTGACATATTTCCAGGAATTTACTGCGCACTGGTTCGCAGTCTGGCGCGGCAAATAACGAGAAACCTACTCCGATCTTTTTCATCAACGGTACCGACTACCTGACGTATAACGCTGGGTCCAACAGTGACTGGCGTACAAACTCGCCCGAGTTCCGGACTCAGGTGGCGATCACAAACTATTATGCTGGAGGTCGTTCAGCACAGTCTTACCCATTTGACAAGTGAGCAGTTCTTTTCTCTTCCCCTTAATGCCCTAATTTCGTCGCTCTTAGGTACACAGCCTTGCTCGTCTTTTTCGCAGAGGATACAAACAATAATACGATTCCAATGGCGCTGAATGTGACTACAGGAATTGCTGTGTGCGTATTCCGCCTTCTTTGTGCCACTCGGACACATTGTGCTGAACTGGAATACAGTGGTTACAATGCTGCATTAGAGACATACGCCTCTGGGACTGGGCTCCACGGCGAGCTCATCAAGGAATTTACAGTCACTCGCGGCCAAGTAGTACGGCTCTACGCGATCCTAACTGTGATTGCCGTCTGTGTGTATAATTCCTTGTTCGAGTTCGGCCGTCGCGCTTATATAGTATGCAGGGCTTGTCACATTGACATTCGTTATGGCATGTATCACCACCGTCTTTTTTGGCAAAGGAGTCCAGCCCGATATCCTGGTAGCGCCAGTAGCTGCTCTTTTCGCTTTCACTGCCCTTCGAAGCACGCTCCCGGGAGCCCCTACTACCTTCGGTGAGTTTTTCCCCTATTGACTCACTCTCTAAAATTACTGATTGCTCTTAATCGCATGCTGCAGGCGCGGACATAGGTACGATTTTAGGAACATTGCTTAGGAGCTTGACTAACACACTTTCAGACTTCGTTGGCATTCTTCCTTGCCTTGCGCTTCTTATCTTCTCAGTATGTCACTCTATTGATTCATTCTCCATCAACGGCCTAATTATTTTGTTCCTGTAGTCGGTGTTTATGTCCGCTATCTTCCTCTTCCGCCGGGAACCAGAAAATGACACGAGGCGATGGGTCGAAATGCACAAAAAGGTCTAATGGCTTGCTCACCAAGTACCGTTTTGCTTGAAGAATGCGGTTGACGACACTCCTTTGAGTTCTCTTTGTTCTTCCCATTTCGCCCTGTTTTGAGCACTTTGAGTGATTCATTGTTGTATCAAGAGCCACGTAAGATATTTGTGTGCGCTGGGGTAGTATTTATAGATATCACTAATATATGATATAGGGGGATCAGTTCTGTAGTTGATCTTCTTGCAGGAAATTACTGATTGAAAGGTCGCTGTCAGTCAGTCAGAGCGCAGTGAGCCCGACTGCGATTACTAGTGTAATCCGAGTCCCACGATTCTAAATCTCTTTCCGGGTTGGTCATACGCCTACCAATGTCTATTTTGTAGGTGTGGCTTCTCGTCCGTGGCTATCCAATACATCCCCCCCCCACCTTTTGATGCACTGGTCTCCATTGATGGCAAACTATCGGTGACAGTGGATATGGAAGAAAGTATTCTCGATCATTGGGTGCGCCTTGCCGATTGCGCCGTCATCCAAATATGGGCATTCCCCGACAATCGTCTAAATAAAGTTTATTGTCGCTCGGTTCGCGACGTCTTATACGCCAACTTCTGGCGGCAACCCGGACTCGCTGGGCGTCAGGATTCATGGTGTACTCGAAACATTTGACAAAATTTACGGTCTTATTTTGTCTACACCAGTTGCCTTTCAAACAGGCAGCTATCAGCACAGCTGTCACGGTCGTGGTACGTGGTACCTGTACGGATGACTAGATGAGGGGTTTTATACCATTCACTGACCGGCAGTATAAAATTCATGCACCAAGATGTACCAAACATCTCGTAGTACTAGTCAAGTTCAGCGAAAGCGGGCATCCAAGTGTCACTATGACTGTCAGCCTCGCAGGGGTCAGCCTAAGGATGATCGTGGCATTTAAGGCGTGAAATAGTCTCTTTACCCCGTTCACCATACCTGTTATAGCTTCCAACAATGCGTTTTCCAAGGCTTTCGCATCTCTTCCATCGCCGCGCCAAATCTGATGGTGACCTTAATAAGCTGGCCTCAGTGCCCACAGCAGTCTTGGCCCCAAGACGTGCATCTGCTAACGGATTTGACGAGCTGGTTCTCGCCGCAAATCATCCAGCCGATACTTTCGCCTCGTACATTACTGCAGTCCCCGTCTCTGCGACACAACCTTTCCCCGACCCACCTGCTGCTGTCGCTTTCTCGCATCCCGGTCTAGCATCGACCGAACTCAAAGAACGTATTCGCGAATTGGAGGCTGCCCTCGCCTTTCAGTACAAGGCAAATCGACGCATCCCTGCTCTCGAGACCGCCCTCCAAACCGAGCGTGCGGCGCTGGAAGTTGCGAAACAGACGAACGAAAAACTTGCCGCCGAGGTTGTCGCTCTCCGCACTAACCTGATCCAGACACAGCGTCAGCTTCGCTTGGCTCCAAATGCCGACGACCGTGCATGCGTCTTGGCGGCTGAGAACTCATCCCTTACCGCGGAACGTCTACGTCATCGCAAGTTCATCGAGCTCATGGTCGCTGTGGGTGGACATAAGCCTGTGCTAGATCGGGCATCCTGTGCTCTTTTTGACGGAATCGATCCAGAGGCTGCTCTGGTTTCTGCGATCAAGGATGCTGTAGCGCAACCAGGAAGCGTCTGGGCAACACTGTTGGATCCGGTGCTCGGTCCCCGTACGCCTAACGAATACTCCTCTCAGGTGCGTTGTACCCTGCGCGCAAGACAGGATGCACGGGAATGGCACAAACGGGCAAAGTTTTGGAAAGGAAAGGCACGAGAGAGTTCGGCACATTTGGAAACGGTCACGCCCTCGGTTTCAAATATCTCGTCAGTCGTTGAAGTCCTGTCGGGGGATCGACAGCGCGCTCTGGACATTCTCATAGAGAGACGTCGGGCTAGTGGCGCTTCCGCTGAGGCAATGGAAGAGGACACTACAAACGCTCTGGAGCTGCAGTTTGACGAACATGAGCCAGACTCAGATGAGATGGTTAGCGTTTACAAAGCTGCAACTTCCACTCGTTCCTCTGTTCCTTCTGCTCTAGCCACGCTCGTCTCCTTCTCGTCTCTTTTGATGGACAATGGCGAGGCATCGACAGCCTCAGCTGATATTTTTGGCCCTTTGCGTATCCCCTTGGCTGGACAGCTTCCAATCTCAGATCCTAATCTAGCGCCATATGCCAATTTGGCCCCACTAGCAAGCGAGACGTTCCGTGCAAGCCATTCAATTGTGAATTCTCGCCGCTCGTCAGCGTCCTATTCTCTATCATTCTCTGGGTCGTTCTCCCGTTCATTATCGCACTCTTTAACCTTCTTCGGGTATGCCACCGAGATTGAGAGAGATGGTATCAGTGCTTCTCGATCCGCCTCCAGCCATGCGAGTAACAATTCAAGAAGTTCTGCACGGAGACGTATGGAAGTCTTGGGCATCGCAGAGGGTTCGGACCTTCAAGTAAGTCCAGAGGAGAGCGGGCCTAGTACTGGGTCCTCGCTTTCTGGATCTATAGCATCATCGCTTGCGCGACTAGGGACAAACGAGGAGTCGGGTGCAAAGGCTGGTCCTGCGCCTGCAGCCATACATACGACCTCTCCCACTTCACTCTCAATGTCAAGCTTGCCAGTGCCGAGCTTCATCAGTCGCACCCCACAGAGGTCCCAGGATGGTCTCCCTTCCCTACTGGAGATCAATGGAGAACGCGACTCGGACGAGGAGCTGGTGATCGTCATGCACAGCGATGCTCCTAGTGTTGTCAGGAACAGCCCTAAGGCACTCAAGCCTTCATCTCCGAGTGCAAGTGGAAAGAGCACTGCGACTCCAGAGAAGTCGCGTCTTCCTGTTCTGAAGAAGGCTATTCGAAGACTGTCGATATCACGTCCGGTGTTAATAGACTCGACTAACGCGGCCACGTTCTCGTTCTCGACAGCCGCAGCGAAGATCAAGTCGCCTCGCCACCCCGTCACCCCTTCAAAGCCAGTTGCTCGTATAGACATCAGAGCGCGAGCAGCTCAGCCTCAAAGCAATGGCAAGGAAAATGGCGGCCCAAGACGGATACAAAAGTCTCCAGGATCAGTTTCCCCCATTTGTCCTTCAAAGATTCCAATGGGCCGGCGTATGCAGCCACTGGAATTAATGAACTCAGCACGGCGAGCTGTGCAGTCGAAGACACGCATGAGGACAGGGACAACTTAAGATAGAAAGTCAATTTATTAAAGGCTGTACTACGTTTGCCATGCGCATGCAGTAACTTCTGTATTTCCTGTGGTTTTGTAGCAATGCCAAGTCAGTCTTGTGATGCAGAAAATGCAGTAAGTTGCCATGCTCCATGTCCAGTGCCTTTGATCTCAAGCACAACACCGATACCCTCTGTGTTATACCTATTGTTATCATACACCACAAGGCCGAGAGGAACCCCGCCCTCGCTTATTATTGGTAGTTTGTGTATCCTGGCTTTCCCTGACCCACCATTCTCTCGGACAACAGTCGTTCCACCCTGTGAACATAAAATTATAAGTTTCGTCTCCTGCCATACTTTTGCAGCCATCGACGCGTAGTTCGTGAAACCTATTCCTGGTGTGAACGGCCTTTCGCCCACATGATCATTAAACTCGGCAGCTGTGCCCTCTAGATATGCCACTGTCAGGCTGAGCAGAGGTCTCGATATGCCTGACCCTCCAGTCACTCGGTCCATATCCGACGCTAGCCCTACTTGCATACCAAAAATTAGATCCCAAATCTCGTCGGAATTGTGCCCTCGCTTCTCGAGCGTTGGGATTGCCTCCCGTACGGGAAGCGGATCGGATTGCCACCTCACGACACCAATCGAGCGATGAGGAATCGAAACGCCATCCGAGTCACCGCGCGCAGGCGGGAGCCCTGGCAATGGGACCGAATGCCACCTTGTGATACTGCTGGCAGGACTATCGAATACTGCCTGTGGGCGGGGCACTAAGCTATGAGAGGGTTGGTTCATCTTCATCAAGTGGGCCCACCGAAGCCAGGAATAATCCCCTTTCGCATTGGCTGCCTCCACTAGCTCCTTCAAAACAAGTCCAAACGGCTTGTCATACGCTGGGATAACCGATTGAAGTTGGCAAACACCAAGCACCGAGTATACCATATCGTGCAGCACAGTACATTGACGCCTCCAGACGCTAGCCATGGCTTCTGCCAGAGGCATAGTCTCACGGCTAGCTTCAGCCATTGAAACAGCCGCGTCCCAGAATCTGGACGACTGGCCTAGCACGGAGGTCTTTTGTGTCGCTGCTCGCCGCGCAATTGGACCCGCAATTTTGAGGACGTCTTGAACAGGAATGCTCTCTTCGTTGTTCCCCACCAGGAAAGTCCTCGAGTTGAGGACTGCCTCCTGGAAGGTCCATGCTCGCGTCCACCATCGACTTCCGTAGAGCGTCCGCAACACGTCACTCCCGCCTCTGGATGCGAACATATAGGCACCGTGGGCATCGCCTGCCTGTTCGAGCATGCGATAACCATCCATGTCTAGCATTGCAGCACTATGCTCGACGAAGGTACATGTTTCATCGTCGACCTCAGGGACTATGCACAGGACGCCCAGCGCTCCGCGGTATATGTCCGCCATTTTTGCAAGCTCCATCAACTTCACACGTGTGGACTCTGGAGTATCGTTCTGTGGGATACAAATAGCGTCGATCCAGAGGGGAAGAGAAGTATGTGCCCCCAGCCGTGCGGCGAGCTGCAATGCTTGTGTTGTGACAGACCTGCCGACCCACTGGCAATGAGTGAAAACCGGATCAGGATCCCAAACGTATGAGACGGCAATATATGGGTCGGACGTATTCTCTGTCCTGATAAGTGTTTCTTTGTGGATGCAGTTCAGAGGACGGGCGTATACACCGTTGAATACACGGCTAGAAGTTATGATTGGTCAGCACGACACAGCTGTCTCCGTAGTCTTCTCCTACCTTGGATTGATTATTTTGGGCCAGCTTGCATACGTCGATGCACGACTCGTGACTGTGTCATAATCTCTGGCGTAGATGACGCATCGGTGGCCATATATGCCAGCCTTCGATACCATGTTTCCACATTTATGTGACATAGAATCGCATCCCCAGATCTCCATCTCGGGTTTGAGAACGCGTTGTGGGATTGGACGTATCCTTCAACTAAAAGGGACTGGAAGCCCTACACATTACTTCCAAGCGAAATAGGACACTGGAGGGGCGCTTGTTCGTCCAGAACCTGCACTCCAAAGCTGCACACCTGAAATTGTAAGGCCGTCCCCAAATGTTGTCTGTAAAAATGGCAAGAGTAGCCAGCCTTGTTACGGACAACCTTGGCCGAGAGATCACGATGGCGACTGTACCGCCACGACAGATAAACGCCTCCACAACCAAATCCACCTTGAGAGGAAGAACGTGACCGGTAGTTTTATTGTGCATGGATGCTCGCCGTCAATGCGGGTTTAAATGCCCCCGAAATAGCATAGTCAAGCATAGTGATGTTGTCGATTTTGAAACGGAGGGTTCGAACGCGAAGACAGGGAGGCGAGAAAGCCTGAGGAGAGACGCGAGACGCGCCCGCGTTCGGATGGCGAGTCTTCGCCGGCTGCCGACACTCTTGGCCGTCTACGCTCGCCATCTTATAACGCCTTTCTTTCAATCTGCCATCTCGTCCCCCCTTTCCCCCTTTCCGATCGGCCATGCCTCCTGTACAGGTATCCAAGATTTGTTGCAGTACGTCTTCGATGCCGTCTAGGTGTCGTTCGCTGAGTCTAGGTTCATACAGTTGGCGCCGGATACGTCGGTGAGCGGAAGCGGCCCCGTGAGACGGAAGCGGTCCTGACTACTCACCACCATTCATTCAGGTGGTCCTACCTGCGCCGTAATTGCATTCAAGTGTCCCCATATCTCCGTCACCATCGTCGATCTTAACCAGGCACGCATTGATGCCTGGAACAGCTCAGACTTCAAACTCCCCATTTACGAACCCGGCCTCGTGGATGTCGTCAAACACGCTCGCGGACGCAATCTCTTCTTCTCTACTGATGTCGACAAGGCCATACAAGAAGCAGACCTTATCTTCGTTAGCGTAAACACCCCCACAAAGAAGAGTGGCGTAGGAGCCGGCTTTGCAGCTGATCTTAAGTGCGTCTCGTCGCACGATATGCTCATTCTTGTCTGTGAGGCAATATTGACGCGCATATATTCAGTTATGTCGAGCTTGCCACCCGGCGCATTGCCGCGGTCGCTCATTCTTCCAAGATTGTAGTCGAAAAATCCACCGTTCCTTGCAGGACCGCAGAGTCAATGCGCACCATCCTCGAGGCGAACTCCAGGCCAGGCTGTCGCTTCGACATCTTGTCCAACCCCGAATTTCTTGCAGAGGGTACCGCCATCGAGGATCTACTCGCCCCCGATCGTGTCCTCATTGGTTCTCTTCAAACACCCGACGGTCTGAACGCCTGCGAGTCGCTGGCCAATGTTTATGCTAATTGGGTCCCGTAAGCTCTCATTCAAGGCGCATATACTCCGCTCTCGTCTGATATACGATTGTTACTAGCAAGGAACGTGTCCTGACGGTTGGCCTATGGTCTTCAGAGCTCTCAAAGCTCGCCGCGAATGCCATGCTTGCGCAGCGTATTTCATCTATAAATGCATTGTCCGCAATTTGTGAGGCAACAGGTGCGAACATTGACGAGGTTGCTCACGCTATTGGATTCGATTCGCGCATTGGCCCTAAATTTCTCCGAGCCTCTGTCGGTTTTGGCGGCTCGTGCTTCCAGAAGGATATCCTCAACTTGGTCTACCTCAGTGAAAGTCTTCATCTCCCGCAGGTTGCAGCGTATTGGCGCCAGGTCGTCGAGATGAACGAGTATCAAAAGAGCCGCTTCTCGAAGACGGTCGTGGACACACTCTTCAACACGATCACTGGAAAGGTATGTCTCCTAACTACCAACACACCACTCAACCAGATATTTATACGACGTTTTACGAAGCACATTGCTGTACTTGGCTTCGCGTTCAAGGCCGATACTGGTGACACACGCGAGTCGCCCGCCATTTCTCTCGTGCGCGATTTTCTCTCAGAGCGTGCTTACGTGACCATCTATGATCCACAAGTCGAGGAGGCGCAAATTTGGCTTGATCTTTCAGAAGCCTGCCCGCTAGTGCCCCTCGAAACGAGTGTGTATTTGCCCCTGTGATTACGTCTGGCCTCGAGCTGTTCTTCTGATTCCATCTTTCTTCCAGTCAAGAAGCAGGTTACAATCGCGTCTTCCGCCCTTGACGCATGCAAAAACATGGAAGCAGTTGTCATTGCTACCGAGTGGAAAGAGTTCCGTGAGATTAACTGGGACTCTGTTTACAAGAATATGAATAAGCCCGCTTTCGTCTTCGACGGCCGCATGCTCGTTGACGCTGACGCGCTGCGGGCTATAGGTTTCAAGGTCGGTGTCTTTGCGGCTGGATGGTCTCATGAATGACTAATGTCAACCTCTTTCAGGTCAAAGTCATTGGCCGTGGCGAGCGAGTATAGAAGTCCTCTTCTCTTCCTGAGCAGCTTTATAATTATTAGCACGCCGCCCTGGACCAGATTCTCGATACCAAGTACTCTAGTAGATGATAACTTATGATGCCGAAATCTCATTGTGTTGCACTTCATGTGAAGAATTTTTGTAGAACGAGGTCATTCATTACACAGCTGTTCGTCAGAACAGCCGGAAGGTGTACAATTATGTATCAGAGGCATTGTCGGAAGCAAATGGCAAGATGTGCGAAGCCCAGGCCGCGGCTAAAGAATGTACGGTTGAATCAAAAAATCTACATAAATAGGCAGGTATGAACTGGATCATATCAGTTGGTCGTCACAGCCATTAATGCAAGGACATCCATTGCAACCGTAGAGCATTACCGGTACGTAATATCGCGCGCTCGTATGGAACCGACCTAAGCCAACTCCGGCATGTTGACGAGCTCAACGGCCCTGTCAATAATCTCCTTGAGAGGCCACCTGTCGCCCGAGCCCTGCTTCAAGTCGAGCAAGTCGCCAATCTCGTCACATGCGGTGAGCACCAAGTCTACGTCATCCTTGGTATGCGCCGCGCTCAAGCAGAAACGTACACGCGAGGTGACCAGGGGCGTCGCTGGGTATGCCACAACGACGACAACGATAGGGATCTGGCGCGTGCGCATCAAGCGGCTGAAGACTGCCATCTTGCCGGGGTTGAACAGCAACAGGGGTACAACAGGGGAGTCGTCGCAGCCATAGGTGATGAAGCCAAGCTTGCGGAGACCACGGTTGAGATATCGCGTGTTGAATGCGAGACGCCGAAGGCGCACGTAGCCATCAGAGCCATCGGCCATCGACGGTGCAACGGGCATCCATGAAGGCAGCACAGTCATAGGCGCTGTTCCGGGGAACTTCTCCATCTCAGTAACTGAGGGCTCCCCCTTCGACAATGACAGCACGCTCGATGAAGCCTTCTCAGATGCTGGTGATATACCCATAATGCTGGCCATGCTGGCAATGACTTGGGTAAGCACAGGTGGCGACATTGCCTCCGCATAGCAGCCAGAGTGTCCATGAACGCGGATGCGGTCTATAAGTGCCTTGCTGCCGGTGATGTATCCACCTGCTGCACCAAATGACTTGGTGAAAGTACCCATGAGGATGTCAATGCTACGCGGGTTCAGACCGAAGTAGTCAGCGACCCCACGGCCATGCGGGCCGAGAGCACCGATAGAGTGTGCTTCATCGACGAAGAGGTAGAACTACGAGGTGAATGTGAATAATACGGATGGTGCAAGTCGTATATGAGCTCTACCTTATATTTCTTCTTGAGTTCCATGATGACAGGCAGGTTCGCCAGTGTGCCTTCCATAGAGTACAATCCTTCGACGATAACAAGAATCTTCTTCCACGGTCGGTGAGTCTTGGGCTGGCCTTGGCTGATCACTTCTCGCAGAAGTGACTCAAGCGACGCCATGTCATTGTGCTTGAACATGCGAACATTGGCACCGCTCAGACGTACTCCAAACCGGATAGACGCGTGGTTGAACTCGTCTGAGATGACAAGACAGCCCTTGCTGACCAAAGCGGGAATGATCGTCGAGTTTGTGGCGAAACCCATAGAGCTGATCAAGGAATCTTCCATACCGACGAAACGGGCAACGAGGGCCTCCGCCTGCTGGTGAAGATCTAGCGTCCCTCCTTCGAGGCGCGATCCACACGAGGATACTCCATATCTGTTGATTGACGATTCAACGGCATCAGCACATGGACCCTTGGCCTGTGCAAAGCCAAGGTAATTGTAGGACGAGATGTTGAGCCCCCGCGTCCGAGTGCCAGTAGGGACCATTGTCACATTGTAATCTGGTGAATACCGGTCTAACAGAACAATTGTGCGGCCAGGGACACCAGTCACAGGATGAGAGAAACAGTCGTCAATACGAGTTTTGAGTCGACGGGTATAAAACGAGTCAAAATCAGAGTTGAGAGCTGCGTATCCCTGATAGGGCGGTTAGTGGGCGTCTACACGACACGGAACAGCCAGCACTTACATTTTGGGAGATGAGGTGTTTGTAGTTCTGAGCTCTGAATCGTCTTCCGAAGAAGTCACGAATATGACCGAGACAGATGACCATGAGATAGCTCAGGTAGGTAGTAAGGAGAATGTAGTACGGCGGGTCCTGCTCCGGATAGCTCTTGTATGGAGTGCCAGCGCGATGCTGGGACGTGTACCTGTAGCTTTCGTTGGCGCAGTGGCCAAACTCAGAATGAATGGTCGTAAAGACCTGTTCGGAGGTCGGGGGAGTGCTTGGATACGACAGCACGTCGTTCGTGTCGACGCCGAATTCATCGAGAACAGTTTCGTCCGAAGAGGAAGTAACAGAGGAGGACAGCGACAGTGCGGGAGTGGAATTGGGTGTACTTCCATGGGCTCTAGCACGAGCATCTGCTTCGGAAACAGCAGATAGGTAAGAGGCCGCCGTTGGCATGGGCGACGAGGACTTTTTCTTCTTGCCGAAGATGGACGCATGAGGGGATGGGGACTGCAGAGCCATGGGCGACGGCTTGAAAGGCATCCTCGACGTGGTGGCCGTCGTCGTGAAAGCTAGGGAGGCGTAGGGGCAGAGGACCGGCGTCGAGCCTGTCGTCGACGATGAGCAGGGGGGAAAGCGGAAGTCGGCCGGGTCGCCTTATCAGGCTTTTCCCACAGGCCACCACGCCCTAATATGGACATGTCTGCCTTATTCCGCAATAATAAATATCTCTTCTATGAAACATCGCTCTATAGTCTGTCCGACGCTATCTTGGCCTTTTCAACAGCACAGGACGGACCTCCAGCATCCCCAAATACACAGCGCACCAGCGTCGACAGCGTCGAGCCGTACCACGGGGACACCGGCTCGCTCACACGTATATTCTTTGCGGCGGCAACTATCATCCGAGAATCACGTTTTGTCTCGTGGATTTCCCTTCCCTCTCCTGCCTGTAAATCCTCGAGATGCCTTCTTATCTCCAAATGCTGTGTGTGTGCTCTCTGCGTTAGGCCCCCGTGGATCCCGTATGATATTAGCATCTCTCGAAGGACGCCCATTCATTGCAGCCTTCGCGCCACTGCTCCGCCCACTATCTTCTCTGGCACTGGCTTCGGCGCTATCACGAGCGTTTTCTGTAAAAATGCGCTCGCGCGCAGCCTGATACTGGGCCTCTCGTTCAGCATAAGTCTTCTGTACATCAGACTGCGGTGTCGACGTGACAAATGTGGAGGTCGATGCTGCGGTTGGCCGCTTCAATATGCGAAGGGTTGGCTGGAACGCAGCTAGTGGTGGCGAGACAACGGAATTCGTGCTTGAACCCGTCATCACGAGCTCCGGCATGGGGACCTTCTTGTTTCTATCGTGTTTCGTTGGTTACGGTGCGTCCAGCCCCGATGTCAGGTATGTAATATGTCCAATTGGGTATCGTCAACACGATAGGCATTCGACCAGGATAGAGGGCGCATCGCTTACGCGCTTTCCCATAATCTCTGTTGGTCCTCTTCTTCTTCATCATCGTCGTCGTCGTCGTCGTCCCAATCATCCGGGATTGCGTGAGGAGGGGCGCTATGTTGTGCAGCCGGCTAACAATAAATTTTCGATCCTTTAGCGGCCAAAGCCAGCCACCATAATACTCACTGGAAAAGGCTGGTCCCAAGGATCTGAGGAGGTGCTGGTGCTTGCGATGGACATTGCTCAAAGCGAGATCGGTCTCAGATCTCGCGCCTCTTCAGCACTTCTCACGTGCGTCGGCTCAATAGACCGATATCGCCGTCACGCATGTAAAGCGCAAATTTGGCTCAGGCCGGAGCCTCGTAAGTACACAAGCACCACCTAGTGTTTGATGCGTGTTTATTTTCGATCATTCCATGTCAAGGTGCGTGCATCAACGGCACCACCGATAAAAGCTTTGGTACGCAGCCACGTATAAACTTGAACTATAGTACTGGATGTCCCAGTCACAAATTTTACATACATGACATATCGTGCAGGCCAGTAAATATTTATCCCGAAAATCAATTGTGACGACAGTCTCTTAGCGTACACAATGTGTTTCAACAGCAAAAGTCAGGCTGTGGCAAAGCTAACCGCACCCGTCTTTGCACTCGGAACAAGGAGAGTGATGAGTGAGAAAGGTACACGGTCGGTGTCAATGACCCCTGCTTTCACCGACCAGTTGATATACCATGGCACTGAAAGACTCAACCACGCAAAAACCCAGGCATACCCAAGACCGCGCACGAGGAGCTCTGGCCACTTCATGTCCGTCCTTTTAGCAATATCTATGACAGCATCCTCTAGCGATATCGCCACGGCCTGCGCGGCGAAGAATGGGAACGAGGCCCCAAGTAACGAGGGGCTCACCATGAAATCGCCTGCGCAGTGCATTAGGCCCGATACTGCAAAGCCAACGTACAGCTGCGTGTAGGATGATGCCCAGGAGCCTGGTTGCAAGTTCAGGAGGCGACAGAACATCTTCCCAAAGGAAGACGTGTACTATAGGGCCGAGACAGCTTATCAGCAGCTTCCCGGTCAAACGCGTGTGAACGTACTCGGCGTAGCAACTGATGGTACGTACGTCTGTGGGACGCCGTCCGTCGTAAGCACATTGGGCTGTAGTACGATAAGCAGGACCACTCACCCCCAGAATCGCCGAACGGTGAATGCATCGGACCACTGTCCGTAGACATTAGGCCACTCTCGTGGCAGGGACCACCCGACGGCGACTGATATTGCGGCAAGCAAGCAGTATTGCATAGCGATCATTCCAAAAGAGGACCCAAAGCGTCCGACGATGTTGACGCAGCGCTGGACGTAGCCATGGGTACTGATAGAGAAAAGATCTGCACCTCGCTGAGAGAAGAGGGGGTTCGATCGCTGATACGATTGTGCAAGGTCGACAACGAGATACCATCGGACCGCGCTCAGGAGCTGCTGACGCACGAACTTCCAGCGGGACTCGCTTGGACGAAGGGGGACGTTGGCAACCTAGACCGGAAACCCATTGTGAGCACGGTGGAAGAGGGGAGGCCTAGCGTCGAGTATGCTGAAGGACAGACCTGATAGCTCCACCCAACGCCGCGAGGACTGTGAAAAACACATAACGACCAGAA